AAATTTTCAACAAACTTCTGCCTAATTCAGTTATTAGTTTAGTAGGCCTCAAACTTTGGAAAGCACCTCAATAATTAAATTTATTTTTTCACCTAGATTGTAACTTTTTAAACACACAAATACGCCTATTTCTCCCTACACTGTAAAATCTGTTGTGCCTCACTAAAACCATTCTGGTTTAAAAATTGTGTTGAATAAATGTAGTACATTTAGTAAATGTAACGGAATCTCTACATATACTTTTGGATTGAAAGAGTTTTCTTCTATTGATGATTGAAATCCAACCACAGCCTATGTTGTCTGTTAGAGATCCCAGCAGTATGAACTCTTATGTATAGCTCACTTTCACGTGGATATATTTTGATTATATGGTTACTAGTGTACCTGTTGCTCGAATTCGAGCAATTGCAAAGCATTACAGGCGACTCACGAAGATTATGGAAATCCTCACGATCTACACAACAGTTAGATATAATCAAAATCTTTTGTAAATATCTTATCTTTTCTCGAAAAATTCAATAAATCACAATTTAAATATTAACAGCTGTTTCATTAAAAAATAGTGTAGAAATATGCATATGGTAAACAAATTTGAAGAGGCAACTTTAAAGGCTTCTGGGGCAGAGCCCTAAGGGAATTTACCTCGTTCCTCTTTTGATGGCTCATCTATAGACCAAGACCTTTCTTTAGAGACCCCTACCAAGTTTCTACGCCCAGCCGTTCTCTCAAATTAGCTGGGACAAAAACCCAGTTTTTCCTCCATAAGAATAAAATGGGATGGGAATTCAAAGGCCACTGGGGCAGAGCCCCAAGGGAATTTACCACATTTCTCTTTTGATGGCTCATCTACAGACCAAGACCTTTCTTTTGACACCTTTACCGAGTTTCTACGCCCAGCCGTTCTCTCAATTTAGCTATGACAAAGAAAAACAGTTTCAAATTAATATATAGATTTTATTATTTTACCTGTATACTGGTGTTTTTCAGAAATCTTCCGAAACCTGTATTGGTTGAATTTTATACGGGAGATGTTCGGGGTGGAAAAGTATTTTGATCCATCCACCAATAGTAATGGAGCGTTTAGACAAGGTAGAACAAAAAGACAACAAAATCTTCCTATTTTTTAAATGGAATTCGGTTCTAGGCCTTCCAAAGTCAAACCTTGAAATAATGATATCAAACTGATCATTTGTGTTTTCGGTTCTGAATCTGCTTAACACAAAAATTAAACCAGATGAACGAATCGTGATCATTTTTAGGATGATTTTGTTGTACTGTGTAAATATATCAACTGAAACAGTTATTATAGTATTCTCGGAACAATAATAAATCTATTGAATACTATATCGCCCTTGGGACTATCAATTATTATTCTATCAACTGATTCAATTTATACACATTTCTCTAAACCTATACATTTTCTCGAATGAATCATTATTTTAATTTTGGTTCAAAAATGTTTAGCTAATATTAAGTCAATGGTCCGGAATGATAAAATATTATTTAATCGCAGGACAAAAAATAACATAAATTTTGTAAGGTGTAAGAATGGTACACAAAATACATTTAGATAAAGTTTCGGGATCCAACACACCTATTTATAAATGTATACAAAGACATATCTGTAAGTAGGTTAATGTTGTCGATATCGGGGAAACACAAAAGCTCTCCAGCCTCTGCCGAAATTTGATACTCCTTCAAAAGATTGATGTCATCATCCATTTTGTTGACCCAATATCATGTTTGAAGCCAACCGAAATAGATGCATTGTATAACACGTACCTTTATGATGAATAAATACGTTGAAGAATATTTTCTATTCAATAACTCTCAGATGTTTTAAAGTATTATTATTAGGTATTTTTTCCATTATCAACGTTAAATTACACGTTTGAACGTGAATTCACCTAATACCAAATGTTATATAGTTTAGTATGTAATTTTTTAAGCCTACGATAAGGAAATGATAAGCTTAGCCGTAAAATAATTAGTTAATGTTGTTTTGTAATATGTTAATGTATTAAGCTTTTGTGTGAATTTCAATAACGCTTTGAAAATTGTTATCTTGAGAGCTGAAATTGTATTTTAAAGTCAACTAGCTCAAATTCAACCAGGTTCAAGCTTTCCCGGCTTTGGCTAATGTTGACTACGAGTATTTACCAATACTAAGGCCTGTGCAGGTATTTTCCACAAGAACTCTGGACTGCCGCCATTTTGTAACGGATGAACCTTTTGAGACACGGTTTTCGCAATGAACTCCACTTGACCAGTCCTTTAAAATGGTGTGCATATCAACCTATGCTTACATTAAAGATTATGTACCTACTCCTCATGGGTTGTCTCCTGGTCAAAGTCAAAAAATGGTAATGCTTGCAAAAAGTTTTCATACATATAAGTTGATGTGAAATGTTTGAATTTTCTAGCGGATTTAGTTAAAAAGATGCCGATTCCAGACTTTTTGTCACCCTGTTTAACTGATTTTACTGATGATGAATTCCTCAAAGATTGGTACAAGTTTTTTTGCTGATAATGGTCTGCGGCAACCGCAGAGATTGGCAAATACAACATACAGACTTGTAAATCTAATAACCTTTACAACCTCTAGTTCCCACCACCTCATATGTCACATAAAGGCCACGTCAAGATGTCTCTTAGAACGGAAAACTGACGTATATACAGGGTGTCCCGGAACTATCTACCAATATTTTAGGACATTGCTTCTGGGTAAGAAACATACCTAAATATCATATTTAAATTGTCCGGAAGTCCTTAGTTACTCACACAGCCGCCATTTTGTTTTTTTTCAGTTATTAATTTTTTTCTAAAGAATGGTTAAACATACGAAAATGGAAACTTTGCACAAACATTTATGACAACTAGACAAAGCTACAAAAAATTATAAAGATTTTTCAAATTCACAAAACAAAATGGCGGCCAATTAAAATTTTTATAAAATCACCGGTTTTTGAGTTATTTAAGAAACAAAATTTTAAATGGACGCCATTTTGTTTTATGAATTTGAAAAATCGTCATAATTTTTTTGTAGCTTTGTCTGGTTGTCATCAATGTTTTGTGCAAAGTTTCCATTTGGAATTAATAAAAAATAAATTAATAACTGAAAAAAACAAAACGGCGGCTGTGTGAGTAACTAAGGACTTCCGGACAATTTAAATATGATATTTAGGTATTACCCAGGAGCAATGCCCAAAAATATTGGTAGAGAGTTCCGGGACACCCTGTATATCCCTTTGATATATAGGCCTATACACATTTGATATTTTGATCGTACGAAAAGTTAGGCGTCTAATAACACTTTAAAAATATTTTTACCCTTACACTCTTTTAACAAGACAGTTAATACCCATCAAAGATGGTAGTGGTGATTGATTTTGATTGGACACTCCAATCAATTATTGTAATATGTTTCCCGTTGGAATAAATAAATACATCATCAGACCCGATAGGTGAATGCTCACCTATGATCCACCTATTGGGTCTGATGATGATAGTATAGTTAATGCTGAAGATGGTTAGTTAGGGAATATTTTATGTTTTCAAATTTGCATTTTAAAAATATCAAAAAGTTTTTACAAACCGCGAAGAACCTCCATACTTAAATAAGGTTTGGTAAAGAATACTGTTCAAATTGAAAACCAAATAAAATGTAGTTAGAATGTCACAATAAAAATATTTATAAAAATCTGTTTCCTGCTTCTTTATCCCTTAAAATATACTTGGAAAGCCGTTAGAAGGTAGGTGTGCTAATACACGTGGATTTGCGTAAATTATCCCTAAAGCTTTATTTATGTGCATGCTTTTTACATTTGCATTTTTATAGGTTTCCTTAGTCGTGAAGGTAAAGAAATGTATTTACATAACTTTTTCCACAATCTCATCAACAACCCAACCGCTAAATTTAACAACACTCAAACGTTTGTTATATATACTGTATAG